TTTCACTTCTTCTTTTCCTATCTGGATTCCTTTTACTTCTTTTTCTGTCCTGATTGCTGTGGCCAACACTTCCAAAACTATGTTGAATAGTAGTGGTGAGAGTGGGCACCCTTGTCTTGTTCCTGATTTCAGGGGAAATGTTTTCAATTTTTCACCATTGAGGGTGATGCTTGCTGTGGGTTTGTCATATATAGCTTTTATTATGTTGAGGTATGTTCCTTCTATTCCTGCTTTCTGGAGAGTTTTAATCATAAATGGATGTTGAATTTTATCAAAGGCTTTTTCTGCATCTATTGAGATAATCATATGGTTTTTATCTTTCAATTTGTTAATGTGGTGTATTACATTGATTGATTTGCGGATATTAAAGAATCCTTGCATTCCTGGGATAAAGCCCACTTGGTCATGATGTATGATTTTTTTAATATGTTGTTGGATTCTGTTTGCTAGAATTTTGTTAAGGATTTTGGCATCTATGTTCATCAGTGATATTGGCCTGTAGTTTTCTTTTTTTGTGGCATCTTTGTCTGGTTTTGGAATTAGGGTGATGGTGGCCTGATAGAATGAATTTGGAAGTTTACCTTCTTCTGCACTTTTCTGGAAGAGTTTGAGTAAGATAGGTGTTAGCTCTTCCCTAAATTTTTGGTAGAATTCAGCTGTGAAGCCATCTGGTCCTGGCAAATTGCCACATATATTCTTATCAACTTCTTATTAACACAGTTTGAGAATACCAGTTTCCCCTGCCCCCCAGCCAACACTAAATAAGTTCTGTACTTTTCTTTTTTGCCAATTTGATAGGCATATCACTCTTGCCTCTCAAGAATTCAAGTCCTTTTCATCCTGAAAGCCAGATTGAATATCCACGTTTTCTTTGAAGAGTCCCATCAACTGCCCAGTAAAACATTTTTCCTTCCTTTCAATTCCCTCATCACTTTATCTATTCATTCAACAAACATTTGTTGAGCATTTATTATATGTTCTAGTCAGTGCAGATAAAGCAACAGATAAATCAGGCAAAAATTTCTACCTTCATGGAGCTTACATTCTAAGGAGGAAGGCAGACAATAAAAACGAATGTAAATTTATAGAATCTTAAATAGCTAAGAACAAAAAAAGCTGATGTGGGGGATAAGAAGCTATCAGGATGGAAATAGAATTGAAATTTTAGGTACCATGACTGAGGAAATCCTAGCAAAAGGTTGCTTGTGCCTTTCTTACAGCATTTACCACTTTCTAGTCCTCTCGCCTGAAAACTCCCGTGGACGGAGGAGCCTGGTGGGCTGCAGTCCATGGGGTTGCTACGAGTCAGACACGACTGAGCGACTTCACTTTCACTTTTCACTTTCTTGCATTGGAGAAGGAAATGGCAACCCACTCCAGTGTTCTTGCCTGGAGAATCCCAGGGACAGAGGAACCTGGTGGGCTGCTGCCTATGGGGTCACACAGAGTCGGACACAACTGAAGCGACTTAGCAGCAGCAGCAGCAGCAGTCTATGTTTATTTTTATTGTGATAAAATATACAACATACACTTTATCATTTTAATCATTTTAAAATACATAGTTCAATGACAGTAAGTATACATGCATTCACATAGTCGTGCAGCCATCACCACTGTTCACCTCCAGAACTTTTTCATCATCCCAAACTGAAAGTCTGTATCCCCTTAAACTGTAACTCTCCATTCTGCTCTCCCTCCCACCTTTCTGTCTCTGAATTTGATTACTCTAGGTACCTCATTTAAATGGAACCATACAGTATTTGTCCTGTGTTTGCTTTATTTCCCTTAGGGTAATTTCTGCAACATTCATGTTGCAATATGTATCAGAATTTCTTTCTCTTTTAAGTTTGAGTAATATTTCATTGGAAAAGACCCCGATGCTGGGAAAGATTGAAGGCAGGAGAAGAAGGGGACGACAGAGGATGAGATGGTTAGATGGCATCACTGATTCAATGGACATGAGTTTGAGCAAGCTCCTGGAGATGGTGAAGGACAGGGAAGCCTGGCGTGCTGCAGTCCATAAAGAGTTGGATGTGACTGAGCAACTGAAAAACAACAATATTCCATTATTTGTATGTACCACATTTTGTTTATCCATTCATCTGCCAAGGAACATTTGGGTTGTTTCTGGGTTTGTCTGTTATGAATAATGTAGTGAACATAGGTGTGCATATATCAGTTCAAATCTCTTCTTTGAGTCTTTGAGGATATAACCAGAAGTGGAATAACTGGATCAAATGGTAGTTATATGTTTAATTTTTTTAAGAACTACCATACTGTTTTTCATAGTGGATGCACCATTTTACATTTTTATCAGCAATGCACTAGGGTTCCAACTGCTCCACATCCTTGCAAAAACTTTTCTTTTAATAATAGACATCATAATGGGTTTTAAGTGGTATCACATTGTGGTTTTGAGTTGCATTTCCTTAATGATTAATGATGCTGAACATCTTAATCATGTGCTTTCTGGCCATTTGTGTGTCTTCTTTGGAAAAATGTCTGTCCAAAATGTCTTCGCCCATTTTTGAGTTGGGTTGTTTGTTTTTTTGTCACTGCATTCTGAGCGTTCCCTATATACTCTGGATGTTAATCCCTTGTCAGATAAACAAGAGCACATAGTTTCTCCTGTGAGTTGTCTTTTTATTTTGGTAATAGTGTCTGTGTTAGTCCATTTGGACTATTGTAACAAAATTACCATAAACTGAGTAGTTTACAAACCACAGACATTTGTATTTCACCACTCTGGAGGCTGGCAAGTCCGAGATCAAGGACTCAAGCATCAAGCAGCTTCAGTGTCTGGGGAAGGCCCACTTCCTGGTTCATAGATGGCGTCTTCTTGCTGTGTCCTCATGTGGGGAGGGAAGGAATCTCTGTAAGGGTACTGATCTCATTCATGACCCCGTCACCTCCCAAAGGCCCACCTCCTGTAATATCATCACCTTACGGGTTTGGATCAACATACAAATTTTGAGGGGAAACAGACATTCAGACCATAGCAGTGTCCTTCGATGTAACAAATTTCTAAAATTTTAATGACATCCAGTTGGTCTATTTTTTTTCTTTAGTAGACTCTGCTTTTGGTGTCATATCCAAGAAATCATGAAATCCAGTGTCATAAAGCTTTCCCCTGTTCTAAAAGTTTTAGAGTTTTAGATCTTACATTTTGGTCTTTGATCCACTTTGAGTTAATTGTACATGGTGTTAGGTAAGAGTCCAATTTCATTTTTTGCATGAGGATGTTAGATGTTCATTTTTATTACATTTGATGATTTTCCTAAGACCCTTTGAGGACAGCACTGTGTCTTATAATTCTTTATATCCCTTATAATACCAGGCATTTAACAAGAGCTTAATGCACTTAAAAAAAAATGCTTAGTGGTTCCTGACTATTGACTCAAAAGTCTTATTCTGTCTGCACCTTATTGTAGGACGTAGCACATAATTGGCATTTTAAAAATGTTTATTAAATTAAGGAATTAAGTATATTCTTATTCTGAAGGATCTCATGGTCAAAAAAATTATTCTTTCAATTGAGTGATGTTGAGAGGATTGGAGAATGAGTAAATTATTGTAAATGTTGTATTGCATAATACATATATGTAAAAAGAGAATGACATAAACAGCAAAAATAATTTCTGTAGCCACCTTCAAAACAAATACTTAACTTTTATTTTGAAGAAGATGAGCTATAACTAAGAATTCATCATTTTTTTCTCCTTGAAATCTTTTTTAAAAAAATCCAGTTTTTTAAAAAAGACAAACATAAGTGCTCTGGAAAACCAAGAAGGTGATATGATAGTTATACAAAAATGTTCCCAGCGAACCAGCTCATTGGTACTTAGGTACTTGTGTGGTTCCCCTCCTATATTGAAGTCGGACTTCAGCCAACAGAATCCCAAGAGTGGTGCTGGACCGTTTTGTATCTAAGCCTGTGATAGATTTTGTATTTATAGCATCTGGAAATGGACTGACAGAAACAAACACAGGTAGATTTTTCTATGAGTTACAAGCTCAGAGCAGAGGCAATGCTATCAAGAGTTAGCCTTTGGGGGGGTGGGGTGGCGGGGAAGAGTTAGCCTTGAGATGCAAAGAATTGGGTGGGGTTGTGAACTGAAGGACCTCAGGATGTTGGAGCCTTGACTTGGCAAAGGTGTGCTGGTTAAGGGGGGAGTTGCCACAGCCAGCTCCTGGATTGGGCAGTATAGAGTTTCGTGGCTGCAGTGGCCCTTCAGGTTACCATGGTGAATTGAGCATGTCATGAAAAGTCCAGCGTGTCACTTCCGCAGTAACCTCCTGCAGTATCCCTAACATCTCAGGATAGAGGCTGGAATGTTTGGCAATTTCTTAAGGGTGGTGGGGAGGGTGGAGCACGCCATTCTTTGGTGGAGCAGATAATTTGGAGAGCTCCATTTATCTTGAGAGAGTTTCCAAACTGTTTCTAGGGAGGTAAGTAGTTGAAAATATTCGCAGAGCAAAGGTCAAAGCTTCCTGAGATTGATCTCACCAAATGAAGCAGGATGTGAAAACAAACAAAAAACAGCAGGATAGAGTGTTTAGCCAGTGTAATAATAACAGCGGTCACTTGTGCACCATTTACTTCATACTGAAGGCCATTGCACCCGTTCACTCACAACCTCATAGAAAATGATGACAAAGAGAACAGCAGCCATCTGATCCTAGGGTTTTCACTATTAACCACTAGTCTATAGAAACAGAATGTGATAAAAGTGACCATTTCAGATCAATGGGAAAAGAATGGATGTTTCAATAACAGTAAATTTGTACTGTAGTTATAGAAAGGGGCCAGTGCTCCAGCTGTACTTCATTCTTGAAAAGATAGAGCAGAATTCAGCTGAAGACAAAAAGAAACCATGTGTTATGTTAATATCTCTAGTTAATAGAGCACACTTACAAACTGATAAGAAAAAGTTAAATAGTCTAATAGAAAGTTTGCCAGGTGATATGGACAGCAATAAACAAAAACACAAGTGATACCATTAAAATATGATGCAGTGATACCGTGTTAGGAAAATATATATATATAATTTATGTATTACAATCCTGGTTTTGTAAGGAAATAAACAACCATCATTACCACCACTGCAATAAATACATGCACATAAAGACAGAACAATGACTTGAAGAAAAGAACCAGAATGTTCACAGTGGTTAAAGTGAAGTGAAGAATTGAAGTGAAGTCGCTCAGTCATGTCCAACTCTTTGCGACTCCATGGACCCACGAGGCACCTCCTCCTCCAGGCAAGAATACTGGAGTGGGCTGCCATTTCCTTCTCCAGGGGATCTTCCCGACCTAGGGATCGAACCTGGTTCTCCCGCATTGTAGACAGACGCTTTACCACCTGAGCCACCAGGGAAGTCACAGTGGTTAGCCCAGGGTAATAACTTGCAATTTATAAATGTTTTCATTTTTCCAAAATTTCAATAAAGCACCTTTATTTAGAATTAGAAAAATAAACCACAACACAAATTATTTGAACATTTGTGAGTTAAATTTAAAATGAAAGTATTATACTTACATGTTTGTTGTTAAGCTTAATTACTTAGAGCAATACTTGTTTAAAACCCATAGAGTGTACAACACGGAGTGCACCCTAATTTATACTGTGTACTTTGGGTGATAATGATGTGTCCGTGTAGTTTTATTGGTCATAACAAGCATACCACTGTAGTTCAGAATGTCCACAATGGGAAAGTTGTATGTGGGAGAGAACAGGGGAGATATGGGAACTCTGTGCTTCCCATTCAATTTTGCTGTGAACCTACAACTACTCTAAAAAAACTAAGTTCATTATTTAAAAGAAGAGCATAGCAACCATAATGATGTCATAGAATTTCTTTAAGGAGGAAATTTTGTAAATACCCTTTATTTAAACTTGGCATAAAGTTGGCATGTTTCTATCCCTCAATGCCAAAAGTATGGTTTTTCACATGGTATAGTATATCCATTTATAAGGGGCAAACCATTATTTCTTAAGTGCATCAGATTGAGGTGTAAGACCAATGCCTATTTTTATTTAGAATGACAGTTCTGTCACAGGGGCTGGAATACACATATGGACATAAGCAACATATTTTCTTTGTGAAGTCAGGGAAAAAGGCTATAATATCAGAAGGTTGCCTGGAGAACCTGAAATTAGGAGAAGTAGGAACTAGTGTCATGACTTGATTATTTAAAATATTTCTCAAAGTATAAGTTCATTGACTACCTACATCAGTCTCACCAAGGATGTTCACTAAGATGGAGGTATTTAAACACTAACCTAGATTTACTCTATCAAAGTCTCCAGGTATGACGTCAGAGTCTGCACTTTTAACAAGCATCCAAGGTGACATTTATGTGCACGGAAGTTTGGGAACCAGAGGTACTTTGTTCCAGTGTAGCAAGGAAAAAGGGTAGCGTTGGCTATGAAGTCTTTGCCAATAGAAAATTAACAAATCAAAAGCATTGATGAGACTAAATCTTGATGTTTCCCTGAAGGGGAAATGGCTAAGGTTCCTTTTAATGATTGTATGATGTGCTAATCAAATTGATACATAATAAATGTCCTTTTCTTTTAAAGGCTTTCATGCTAGGTTGTGGTCCAGTGAAGATACTAGGTCCATTAGGCTTCACTTGTGCATTATTGTTCTCTTGCTCATTTAAGACCTGTAACTAATGGTATTGTATAACACGAAATTCTTATTGAATCTCTCTCAATGTAGCTTTTTTGCAGAAAATAATTCCCCCTTCCCATGATACTATCCTGGTATTCCTTGATAGTCTAAGAAATAATACACAAACATCTTAATTTTTACCTGTGAGACACATTTTTAAAAATTGTCCTAACTGTTCTTTAAAATAGTTACTACCAGTATGTCTATCATTTCCTAGTTTTCTGTAAAAAAAACCCAAAAACTAGAGTTTTAAAAAACAAATAAACATATCTGTTGGCCAGATGTTTATTTCTTTTTTTGTTTTGTTTTGCTTTTTTTCTCTAATTAGGTGTTGGGAGAATATACTAGGAAGGAGTTGTAAGAGGAACTCATTTATTAACAAAGATAGTAAACATTTGCATAAATGATTAGAATTAGTTGGAGACACATGGAATGTGAGGCTGTCATTAATTTTATTAAAATCTATTGTAAAAATACTTCCCTTTATGCCATCTTACATAGAAGGAGGATAATCTCTGTTGTGGAAATTATTGTTTCTTTTTCCTTGGAGAAGGAAATGGCAACCCACTCCAGTATGCTTGCTTGGAGAATCCCATGGAGGGAGGAGCCTGGTAGGCTACAGTCCCTGGGGTCGCAATGAGTTGGACATGACTGAGCGACTTCACTTTCTCACAAAATCTACTGATAGAGCACTGCTAATACACAACTCTGACACTGCTTTTCTGTGACTCCTTGATGTTCTTAACTTCATTTGATTGCTGTCAAGTCATGGGAGAACGTCATTCTTCTTTCACTGTATATCACTGCCCAGATGTATTATATATTTTTATATATATTTATAGAAGCATAATTGCATACCAGTGGCAATTTCATGAATTTTGACAAATGTAGACATCTATATAACCAGTACTGCAGATGGGTATGCCTTCACCCTATGAGGTTCATTGTGGTCTCTTCCCTTCTCTCCCTGCCCCTGTCTATCCTGACAACCACTATTATGATTTCTCTCCCTGCAGATCAGTTTTGCCTGTTTTATAATTCCATAAAATGATGTATTGACTATGAGGTAACTCCATAATTGTTACAGAAGACAGTGACACTCATTTTTCTAAGTTCTTTCAAGAGAAACCACTCTAGACTCTTAGAAAACTCCAAAACGTTTCAATTTGTGTTGGTAAAGGTAGAATATCTTAAGTAAGATTTCTTTGCCTCGAAGTATAAACAGTATCCTGCTAAGGATGTTAGAAACTGTCCTTCTGTAATTAGTTAACTAGTTTTAAAGTCTTGAATTAGACATATTTTAATAATTAAAAACACTCTGATAGAGTATGCAGATGACCCAAAGGGAATCAATTCTTCTGACCCAAAACAATAATCGCCCCAATCTCCTAGAAGAATTTGAAGATCAACTTGCTAACTTAGGAAGAAGAAAGAAAGTGTTCAGATAGGCAAAAGAATGCCACTTGATCCACAGACCATAGGCAACCAAGTTTGATCCCAGATCAGATTCCAAAAGGGATCAGTAACATCTTCCCCAAACTTGGATTTCAACATATTCTTACCCATTTCTGTCTTTTCAGCCCCACAAGTGCAGTCTTTTACATGGTCCAAAAGAGAACTTTGAGGAATAGTACATCCTTTCTACCATCCATTATCATCATTTCTTTGGTCCTTTAACACATTCTGTGGTCCTTACCAGTTTTGCATGTTTTGATTGCTCCAAGACTTTAACATTCTGCTACTATTTGTGTGGTTCTATGTCACTCTCATAGAGTTATCACTTGCCTTTGTCTTTTTCAATGTTCCTCCCATATTCCAGTTTAAAGGGTTCTGTGCCATCACTCTAATTTGTTTGAAAATCTCCCTGCCTCTTTCCTCGTCATTGGAATTGCCCCAAGTCATGCTTCAGAGCACTTCCTGGTACTATCTTCTTTTGGAAACTAGTGGAATTATGCCTATTTTTAAAAAAATATTTTAAAGTCTAGCTTCCTAAAGTCTGCTATACACATTTTATCTAGCTTATCCTTGTCTTCCCTTGAAGATGACATGGTCTCCCAGGGTCTCATCCCTTCCACTCTGACAAATGACTTCTTCCCACTGGTTGGAATCAGTCAGAGCAGAGTTATTTTTATTCCTTCCTCTACCATCTAGGATGTGAAATTGTGGGGAAGGCAAGTGAAATGCTCTGCTTTTATCTGAATGAAATATCCAGAATGTTATCCCCAGCGTGTGTGCTATGCCAATTCTGTGGCTTTCCCCCATGTGTCTCAGCTCAGTTTCCATAAAAACCTCACTTCTGTTCCTCTCTCCTTTCATCTTCATCCAAGTGTTCAGGGATTCCTCTGCATCTATTGTTATTACAGCCTACAATGCTGCTCCATCTCCTCTCAACAGGTCTTTTGTGCACAGCACACCCTTCTATCACTATGTTCCCATGGACCGGTTCCACCCCGCCAACTCTCCCGGTATCTATGAGGTCTTGTTTGTCACCCCGTGCTGTAATCTCAAGGTTACTTACTATGTTCTGGGTATGATATCTGGACATCTGCTACCTATGTTTTGTTTCTGATGTTCTTCCCAATTGTTTTCTCATTGAATCACTCAGCACCTCCCTCGCTGTTTCCCTCACTGTTGAAATTCTTCCCAGGCCTTCCTTCATGTCATCCATGGAAACCCATTTCATTTTATCTAGGTGTTTTTTTTTTTTTTTCCCCTCCCTTCCCATCTGTTTTCCATTTACAGACCTTTTGGCCAGATGAGTTGGTCTCTGACTAAACACATTCTTTTTAGTCTTTGAAAAATGTTCTCCATTCTTAGTCAATATCCATCATTCCTACATTTGAAGCTGTGGCCCTGAAATGAAAATTTGCACCAACTGTGTACCCAGTCATTCATTTTTTTTTGTATCATATTTTTATTCTCTGCATTGTGCCCTAAGTCTTTTATGTTCCAAATTTCACAGCATCTTGAGATGCTTCCATACGCTATTTTGATGGCTTTTCATTTCCCTGTAACTTGGCAGTTGATAGTTTGACCAGCCTCAGCAGGCTCTGCCATATGCTAGATTCATATTCCATGAAGATAACTCCCTTTCCGGCACGACTTGATTGTGTCAATTCAGACATTACCATATCCCTCGCTGGGAGTCCCAGAATTCCAGTGTATGACTTTTTCTCCATAGCTTTACCATCCTCTGTGGGAAAGGAATATCAGAGGTGGTGCAGAGTAGTAAAAAGGAGGCTTGCTCTTCCACTTGCTACTGGGCAGCTAAAGAGGACACTGGGCTTTCCAGGTGACGCTAGTGGTAAAGAACCCACCTGCCAATGCAGAAGACGTAAGAGGTGCAGGTTCGATCCCTGGGTTGGGAAGTTCCCCTGCAGGAGGGCATGGCAATCCACTCCAGTATTCTTGCTTGGAGAAGCCCATGGACTGAGGAGCCTGGCGGGCTACAGCCCATAGGGTTGCAAAGAGTTGGACACGACTGAAGTGACCTAGCACACAAAGAGGACAAATAACTGGGCTCCCCTGGAAGTCCAGTGGTTAGGACTCCATGCTGCCACTTCAGGGAGCATGAGTTCGATCTCTGGTCAGGGAACTAGGATCCCGCATGCCATGCAGCATGGCCTAAAAAATAAAAAAGAGCGCAGTAACTAAAACAAGTAGT